TTTTTCTGGTGATTTGGTTTAGTAGTTAGTTGTTTTGTGTCCTCGATATCGCCATGATGGTCATCAGTGACTGGAGTGCCTCAAATGTTTAGAATAATTAAAATAAAATAAATGTTGTCAACTAAAAATTTTGAACGTCATAGCTAGCTAGACATTATTTTCAATTGAAAAAAACAAATTATAAAGCATAATACTATAATTCTATGCTTAAAATGTATTTTCTTGTGGCCGCCTGACAGCACCTGTAAATCTGGCGTGACAGTGAACGTGTTAATAAGTAAATGTTGTTCAAATTATGTCGTGTTTTATGTCATTTTCATCAGTAAAATTAAAAAATTTGATATTTCAATCGCTTGGTTGCCTCGATTCACGTTTCATGCTTATCTTTTATTCGCTGTCCTTGACTACGTTCGGCCAACTACAAAGGCGGGCGCGAGGCTCGAAAACGTAGTCCCTGACTCTACGAGTGTCAATTTTAGCTTCCTTGCGGTCTGACACTTGTGGAGAATATACTGTAATTCGTGAATCAATTGAAAAATACAAAATTCAAAATCACTGAAAAAAGTGACAAAAATGAAATTATTCTAATTTCACTGTTAAATAATTTTTATCATTCCTCCCTATGAAATTCATTGTAAAATCTTCACTGAAAATGTCATTAAGAAATTTTACCGTTTAGTAGAAAGAGAAACATAATTCACAAGCACGAGGATTCTATCGGACGTAAAATGTCTGCTTAATTTTGAAAATTTTCTACAACTCCTTCGGATGAAGTAACGCTTGTTCATCGTGAAGGGCGTACTTGAAAAGTCTATAATTGCTGTTCTCGTTGTTCACCTTCCGGTGAATGGTTCTTTTCAATGTTCTCTCTTTCTCTGTCTCTCCTCCTACCCTTTTCTCTGTTCTTTAATCGAGCACATGGCTGCGTTCCGCGTTGAGGAACGTGTCGCTCTATTGCCGCCTGAAATTTCTCTTCCCTTTTCGTCAGAAAACTGAATTACTGGGACAAGTTCCCAGCCGGGATTGTAGGAGAAGCAGAAAAGTTTCGGATCGAAAGACTCGAACTTTTCAATGCCTCCACGTGCTGGAATTACCTGGCGGAGCTGTAAGATATAAAAAGATCAGGGAAGTGACTGTAATGGGGAGTAAATCTTGATTCGAGCGCGAATGTTGAATCAAAGGAACGTGGAATATTGAAAATTTCACGTCGAGGAAGTATTTAGGAGTAAAATTAGAAAAAAAAGGGGATGGTAATATTTTAATTCTTGCATTCTAATTGCACAAGTTTTTTCTTCGTTTATTTTATCTTCTTTCTCGAGCTAATTACATAAACTGCTAATTTCACGAGTGACGAATTTAACGAATTTAAGGATGATACGTTGTGATAATATTTTTGATATATTTTTTAAAGTAACGTGTATTACGTGAAAAGTTTCAATTTTATTTGGATTATCTTGGTTTAAGGATTTATAACAGATTTAACAAACTCTCTGAAAGGGTCTACATCAGCATGATAGAATTAAACAAACACATATTAATTTTTACATTATGACTTTAATTTGAATTGTTTTTTTTTTTTTGCAAAAAAGTGCTTTCGATTTATCTCGTGGTCGGGCGTCTCCGAATAGGATGTAACTTCTACCAGCAAACTGCCAAGTACGAGTTATCTCGTAACAATTAGATCAAATTTTCCACATAAAGACACTTTCCTCTTTCCAAGGATTTCTCCATTCAGAAACTGTTCTTCCATAAACAATCTCTTTTTTAAATTACACAAAAATAAATCTGAATTCACTGCTGTCTTACCCCCTTCCGTTCAATTTACCTATCGACAATAATATTTGCCCCGAATGAAATATACCTTCTTCTAAATGTTCTCCTACTTTTGTCAAACAGACCAGCCTCACGACACGCCGGTCGTTATTTCCAGCATGATCACTCACTCGTTCACGTTACACGCTAAATATTTCAGTCGGTAGCCTTCGGTTCTTACGAAACGAAGTGGCCTCTTCTATTTCGCGACGTCGCGGATGCTCATTATTTTTTAATCAGCGGTCAGTTCGTTTCACGATCCAAGAAAATTGTATTAAATCCAGAAGCGAGACATTTATTCAATCAACGATTCCTTAGAAATTCCATCTGAGAAGTTTCTCTCTCGTTCGGTAAAACGAGTGACTCACGAAGGAAAAATAGAAGGAAACGATATAAATATAGGCTCAATTACAATTAGCCTTGGTAGATAAAAACGAGGACCGGAAAAAACCGGAACATGAAAGGGAAAAACAATTTTCTCTCTTCCTAGTCGAGCGAGGTCGTTGTAATTGGAAAAGACGACGAGGAGAGACAATTTAGTGTGTGTCGTTAAAAAAAAAAAGCGTGAAGCAATCAGTCGTGTGACGAGGAATAACTGTATGTACTCGAGTGTGGGATCTTCGTTTTGCATCGAAATTGTATGCAAATGATTTGAAGAATCGAATAATTATCGAGAAAATTAACGAAGGCGACGATAGATTCTGGTTTCTATGTCTCGAGTGTAATGAAGCTAATTAAAAAGTTCCCATCGTTAAGAACTTCTTTCATTTTCATTCTTGCAATTCTTCGTCGATACAGTGTTACCATAAGTCCAATCCCTTTAAGTATCATTTCGTAAAATACCAGAAAATAAACGAAGACGTCACAGTAAATTCTGAATAGAAAATTCGAAATGTAACGAAGTGAATTAAAAAGTTTCTTTCATTTTCATCCTAAGAGGACTCGTCAATGGATGAATTCTAATCGCCATAAGTGGCACTGTAAACATTACCCAAGCCAGCAAACTAGCTCAAAAAATTCTATTCTAATTACTATTAAAAAAAAGAAAAAGATAATAAGTTCATAATTGCAAATTTTCATCGAAGCGACAAGTCCAATTCTTTCAACAATCATTCCGTAAAACACGAGAAGGGGGAAATGCGAATAAATTAAGCGGCGTCTGTCTAATCGAGGCAAGGAATCGAACCTTCGAAAAGGGAATGACGTAAGCCACGTCGAATGACGTACTTACGTGACCAATAAGCGTGCGTTTTTCGATCGTCAAACGTAATTTCTATGCCGAGACTCGCCTTCCATTTCCAATGGTACAGCCTTTAATCAGAATTTATTGTTGTGAATTCATAGTTCACGGTCGAATCGTTCATATGTACCTCTGACAGATTGCGTTTGTCAGAACTTCCCAGCCGCTTCTTTATTTAAAACGATAAGCTGGCCGACACTCGGAGGCGTGCGATATCGTTTTCTACTTTCCGTTCCTATTCAGAACGATGTCCCTACGAGACAATTCTTATAATTCTACCGTCGATCGATCGGTTTTATTTATGAATTTTTTATCACATCGTTAGACAGGAACGACGAAGGTGGACGAAGGATTTTGCCTACGATGAATAATGAATAATATCTCTTATTCCTAACGCTTGACGTTACGTCATCTACGATCAACAAGAGTACTTTGAAGATGTATAGTGTGTCTTGCGATTGTTTTATATAGCGATGAATCATTTATACACGCGAGTAGAGGAGAACAGATGCATGATATTTAATTCGTGACAGTAAACCAGCGATGTTTCCTTGAAATTCTCCCGTTGGATCGCTAGAATTCTTGTTAGCGATATGTT